CTAAAAAAAGCGGTGGTGGGGGTGTGTGACATGGTTCAGTGGATACAGGCACTTGCTGCTAAGCCTGTGGACCAGAATTCTGTCCCCAAGACACATAGAGAACAAACTTCCTGAAAGTAGTTGTCCTCTTATCTCAACATGTGCAACTTCTCACACATACACAGAAAAGATTACGAAGGACACAGAAAATTCATACAGATTGATAAAGGTATGTTTGCCAAACACATTTAAGCTTGAGATTATGTGTGTGTGTGTTATATATATTAGGTATATAATTTCCGCCTAAATTTTCTTTTTATTGCTATGTCCAAAAGCAACTTGGGGAGGAAAGGCTTTATTTCACTTTACAGCTTACATCATGAAGGAAATGTTAGGGCAAGAACCTGGAAGCAGGAGCTGAAACAGAGCTTCCATGAAGGAATGTTGCTGAATGGTCCTCTGGAGTAACAGAACATACAGAATGAATATATATATATATATATATATATATATATATATATATATATGTGTGTGTGTGTGTGTGTGTGTGTGTGTGTGTGTGTGTGTGTGTGTATTCACTCTGCACACTCACATGCACTCATTCTTTCATTTCTCAGAATATATGTGTATATATGTATATGTATATATGATATATATGTTATATATATGGGATTAGAATGATTTACAGGCTGTGTTCCAGCTAACCCAATAATGGCTCAGCAGTTAAGAGCACTGTCTGCTCTTCCAGAGGTCCTGAGTTCAGTTCCCAGCAACCACATGGTGGCTCACAACCATCTGTAGTGAGATCTGGTGTCCTCTTCTGGTGTGCAGGTGTACATGCAGCCAGAACACCGTATAAATAATAACAAACTAACAAACAAATAAATAAAATTTAAAAAATAAAAAAGAAGGCCTTGGTAAACTCAAGAGTATCATAATTAAAGGTTGCAAGTATAATTAAGTGTCATAGCATTTGCCTAGAATGTACAAGGCCCTGGTTACAGCCTCAGCACTACAAAAAAGGTATGTGTGTGTATGTGTATTTTCTGAACAAATAAACTAGCAACAAGTTTGGAAACACCCTTAGATGAAAGATAAAATAAATATTATAAAATAATTATGAATGTATTATAGGCAAAATTTGTGGAACAAAGCAAATTTGATTAATAGAAGAAAATATGTAGCTTTAAACACATTCATCAAGAAAGAAAGGAAGAGGGCTGGCAAGATGGCTCAGAGGTTAAGAGTTCTGTTCTTTCAGAGGTCCTGAGTTCAATTCCCAGGAACCACACATGGTGGCTCATAACCATCTATAATGAGATCTGGTGTTCTCTTCTGGCCTGCTGACACACATGCAGGCAGAATAAAGTATAAATAATAAATAAATCCTCTTTTTTTTAAAGGAGGGGATGGAGAGATTGCTCAATGGTTAAGTATACTGGCTGCTCTTCCAGAGGACAAAAATGTGTGTTCAATTCCCAGCACCCACATGCTGGCTCACAACTTCTGTAACTCCATTTCCATGAAATCTGATGCCCTGCAGGCCCTTCTGCAAGCACCGGATGCATGTGGTGCAGAGACACATATGCAAGCAAAACATCCATAACACCCATACACATAAAGTAAAATAAATAAATTATTAAATTTATGTATGTAGGTATTTATTGATTGAGTTTTCCAGATATGGTTTCTCTGTGTGGCCCTGGTTATCCTGGAACTCGCTCTGTAGACCAGGTTGGACTCAAACTCAGGAGATTCACTTTCTTTTGGCTCCCAAATTCTGGAAGGAGCCCACTACCACTGCCTGGCTTGATTTCATTTTTTTAAAGAAATGAGCCAGGGATGGCAGCTCACACCTGTAGTCCCAATTCTTATGATGCTAACGCATGAGGACTGTTGTGACTTAAAGGACAACTTGAGCTAGAGAGTGAATTACAGGCCAGCCACCGTTACATAGGGAGGTAGAGAGAAACTAAAATAGAAGATCCAAGCATTCAGCTCGAGAAGTGAGGTGAAGCTTGATGGCTTAGGCCTGAAATTCTAGCACTTGGAAGGCAGGGGAAACTCCATGAGTTTGAGGTTGCTCTGGCTCCATAAGACCCTGTCTCAAAGAAAAGAACAAACACAAGCTGGGTATTGTAGCATGTGCCTTTAATTTTAACCTTTGGGAGTTAGAGTCAGGCAGATCTTTGTAAGTATGAGGCCACCCTAAGTCTATAAAGCAAATTCCTGGCCAGCCAGGCTATAGAATAAGGCCTTGTCTCAAAAAAAAATTAAAAATGAAATTAAAATCCACAGTACCCTCCAGTCTCAACTCTTCAGAATCAGGAGTGTGACTTGAGCCAAGGTGTTTGAGGCCTTCTTAAGAAACTTAGCATTAGCTGGGAGCAGTGGCACATGCCTGTAATCCCAGCACTCAGGGGGGCACAGGCATGTGGATCTCTGTGAGTTCCAGGCTACCCTGGTCTACAAAGCAAGTCCAGGACAGGCAAGGCTACACAGAGAAGCCCTATTTCTCTGTGAAAAAAAAAAGAAGGAAACTCATCAAGATCCCATTTTCAAATAAATCAAGAAAGTTGGCTATTGCAATGCACATCTATAGTACTGGGCAGAAAGACTGAGAGTGTGAGGCTATCCTGGGCTCTGCAGTGACTTCCAGTCCAGCTTACAATACATAAAGACACCCTGTCCATAAGTAGGTAGGTAGGTAGGTAGGTAGGTAGGTAGGTAGGTAGGTAGATAGATAGATAGATATAAAAGACATTTCATGCTCTTTGATGGGAAAATTTTGGTGATGTATTAGGTATCTACTGATACCAAAGTATCACAAAGCTCACTGGCTACATCAGGCATGATGCAGCATGCATGTAGTTCTAGTCTTTGTGAGGCTCATGGGGCAAGGGAACTAGGCTCTGTCTCACAAGTTGAGCTACACAGTGAGACCCTGTCACAGGACAAAGCAAGCAAGCAAGCAAGCAAGCAAACAAACAAACAAACATCTCCCATGGTTTTAGAGGGTCAGAATTCTGGGAGTAGCTTAGTTAGGTGGTTCTAGTTCATAGTGCTCATAGGTTACTGCTAGTCAGTGTGTCAGCCTAGACAGCAGTTATCTGGAGGTGTGGATCCACTTCTAAGAAGGCCTGCTCCTACAGCTGTTGGAAGGAAATCTCAGTTCCATGCTACTTTAGCCCCTTCTATAGGACTACTCTTGACAAACCAGCAAACATTTCACAGAAGGCTCAGTCTGCATGAGAGAACAGTTTTGAACACGACACAGTATCACTTTTGCTTTGGTTACTTTGAACATTACAACCAATTCACTAAGTCCAGTCCATACCCAAGGGCAAGGAAAGTAGGCTCCAATTCTTTTGTTTGGCATTTTTCTTGGGGGGTAGGCAGGATATAACTGTTTAGGTAGCCCAGATTGGCTTTGAATGGAAGATCCTATTGCCTCAGCAACACCTCCCCAAGTGCTAGGATTACTGGTTTAAATTACCAAACCCAATTAAGGTACCAAATCTTAATGGGAGCAGTATCAGTGTGCACATACCTTAAAACCACAGATAATATCATGGTGTCATTCTCAAATCTTTACATTAAATGCAATTCAAAAAACCATCCAATTTTTATTTGCTTGTTTCAATACAGGATCTCACCAAAGGCTAGCTAAAGTTAGCCTGGAACCTGTTAAAGCCTCAAACTCACAATCCTGCCTCAGTTTCCTGATAGATGGTGATGAGACATGTGGCTCAATGGCAGAGTAAAACCAGACACAGCTCTCCTCTGTGTTGGGCTATAAGTCAATGGATTTACACATGCTGGGCAAGCACTCTACCACTGAGCTAAACCCCATACAAGGATTGAGAATCCTAAACTAAAAGCAAAACTATAGTGCTAACGAAATAACCTGCATAAGAGTGTCTTTGGGACTTGGGAAAAAGGATTTCTTTAAAAATACAGACAAGTTGGTTGTGGTGATCCCAGCACTGAAGAAGCTAAGGCAAGGGGTTTAGGAGTTCAATGATAGCCTAGGCATACAGTGAAGTATAGACCACAGGGTGAGAAATTATTAGATCAAAATTAAATGTATCTAACTAAAGATACTACCAACAAATTTAATAACATGAATATACATGACAATCACTGAGAAATATGGGAATAAGGCTAACAGGAACCATAGATGAATGGCACCTGAAGGTTAATAAAGCTATTTGTGTTGGGGTTGGTGGTAGAGTGTGGAAAAGGCCTTTATGAAATTGAGCAAATTCATCTTATGAGTGAAAAAAATATAGAGTCCCTGAAGGCAAAAGAGTTATTATTAGACACTGAAGGCTGGGAAAGAGCAAATTTCCAAAAGTCAGTCCTTTGAATCAAGAGCTATTATCCTGAATAGAGAGCAAAATTCATGCTGTGGATTGGGATTTGCACCCTCTGAAGGTAGAATACCTGTTTTGCTCAAAGCATTATCAGGCTTAAGGAGACTGTCAGATGGGGATATGAGCTGAAGTCAGAGGTGAGAAGGACGGCACTAAGTCCCATAACAAAGCGAGACGTTAGGCACAGGTGATAAAGGAGTAGTGGTTAAGGATTCGGAAATGTAGGGTCTGACACCAAGAGCTTTGAAGGTGATGACGTTGGGGCTTTAAGGGATATGAGGTTAAAGTCCTAAAAAGAAAAAGAAAAAAAGATTGGTTTCTGAGGATGGTAGTTCATTGGCACCGATCTGCTGTCAATTACGACTTCTATCGAAAAGGACAAATGACTTCAAAGGGAGTGAATATCTCGTCAGGGAGGACAAGGCTATTTGAATCCAAACGTTTGTGGATGGAGCGGGGGACAATATCTCAGCTAAACGAGAAATGCTTAAAGTAGGATACACTGAACTCATAAAGTTTCTATTCCCGGAAGCCGGCAAGGCGAATTGCTTCCTCTGCCTGACTTTCCCTCTAGCCAACGCCCCACGCCTACCTTAACCAATGAGCGCGCGCGCTGGGTGACGTTCTGTGACGTATCCGCTACGCTCGCTTTATCAGGCGTCTTCTCGCGTGGCAGCCTCTCTCTCGTCTCGTGGTTCCTTAGAGCTCGCCGTTTCTACAGCTTTGGCTTTTAATTTCCAGGTAAGCAGCGTTTGTCTTGCATCGTGGTCGTCCCTCACCTTGCTTCCTTGCTCCCCAGGGGCGGGGAATGAGAGTAGAAATAGGAGCGGCTGCTGACACGTAGGCTTGAGTTTCTCCAGGGAGGGCTTGTCCCAGGCTACAAGAGAAATCTCTGTTGTGAGGCTGTCCTGTTGCATCCGAATGGGAGTAATGCTGGGAGGGACGGACGGAGTCGGTGGCGGCAGTGACCACGCGACAACCTATTTTGGTTGTCTCTTCCCACGTGACCACCGCCATCTTGTTCTGCAGGGAAAGAGGAAATGCAATGCAGTTGTAGGCCTGCGCGACCATACAAAATGACGGGTGTAGAGGCTTAGGATGTTGTGGGCATGCGCGGGAGCAGTCGTCAAATGGCGAACAGCCTCATTCTGGCTTGCTGGTTCCCGCCTTTTCTGCTCCTCAGTCTCTTGCCATTGATAATCCTTTTTAGCCCATTTGTGTGTATGTGTGTTTTCCTTGTAATTTTGATAATCCTTTTTAGCCCATTTTGTGTGTGTGTGTGTTCCCTGTAATTCTCCCGGTGTTTGGCATGTCACCACTTCCCACAGTCACTATATTCCCCAGTATTCCACATACTCTCCCTATAGGACTTGCATTCTGCCATGTCTTCTGAAGAAGGGAAACTCTTCGTGGGAGGGCTCAACTTCAACACCGATGAGCAGGCACTAGAAGACCACTTCAGCAGCTTTGGGCCTATCTCTGAGGGTGAGCCATGGACCAGCCCACGAGTTGAGGCTGGTGGATAAAAGCTAGTGTGGGACCAGTATCAGAAATTCTCCTTAAGTTCCTTGTTTGTAAGATATAGTTAGGCTGAGAAAAATCTAATGAGATACAGGATTAGGGGTAGGGGTGGTTGTCTATTCTCCCAAGTGCTATTTGGTGTGTGCTGATGTGTACTGTTTACTTTTCAGGCTACTCCTTTCCATTTAAATGTTAAGATTCTAATATTTCTATTTCTACCCCTCTCCCCCACAGTGGTTGTTGTCAAGGACCGGGAGACTCAAAGATCCCGGGGTTTTGGCTTCATCACCTTCACTAACCCAGAGCATGCTTCAGATGCCATGAGAGCCATGAATGGAGAGGTGAGGCCTCCTGCCTCCAGAGGAGCCTTCTCCCTGTCTGCCACTTTCTTCGTTCTTTCTGTTTTCCCTCTATGTCTGCCAGGGGCAGCGTGGCCACGAAGCCCCTCGGTGTCCACTCACAGGAGCATGACTGCCTTCTGTTCTAGGGGGTGGAGGGCAGCGGCAGACAGAGCCGGGCTGCCTGGGAGGCGACGACTGGTCCTGCATGAGGCGGAGAAGCCACCTGTGGATGGTTGACCTGCTCTGGGCTTAGGTAGTAGAGTCTGCAGACCTGTGGGCCTGGCCCGGAGAGGACCTCGTGAGTCTTCTGGGATGGACTCTGAAGCCTCAAACCAAGAGAGGTGTCTAGCCCAAATAGTCGGGCAGCTTAGAGGAGTGGGGAGGAGAACCCAGCCTGAGTTCAGTCAAGATGTAAGTAGTAGCAGGGGAGCACGGTGGATTCAGGTCGTTTTGTGGGATTTTGTAGCTCCTGGTGAAACCATTCTGGTCAGAGGAGCTTGTTCTGGAGCATGGCACCCAGAATTTGGTGCTAAGCAGGAATTTCTGGGCTCTTGCCTAACTACCGGTGCCCGATCTTCCCTCTGCTACTCCCGACTGACTGACAGCCCTGCCTCCTTGTATCTGTCTCCTTCCCATATCTAGTCTCTGGATGGGCGCCAGATCCGTGTGGACCATGCAGGCAAATCTGCCCGGGGAACCAGAGGAGGTGCCTTTGGGGCACATGGGCGTGGTCGCAGCTACTCTAGAGGTAAGTTAGTGCTGGTTGTATTATGAGATGAGCTAGAACCATTTGTTAGAAGCCTGTCTCTGAACTGCTGCTGTTTAAATATTTTCCCATAGGTGGTGGAGACCAGGGCTATGGAAGTGGAAGATATGACAGTCGACCTGGAGGATATGGATATGGATATGGACGGTCTAGAGACAACAGCGGCAGGTGGGTGCTGAGAGTTTGGGATGCTATAGTGCTGGTCTTCTTAATTCAGTAGCCTATAGTGCTGGTCTTCTTAATTCAGTAGCCTAACTTGCACCTAGCTGGAAATGGGAGTTTTTACGTGGTGCTCATACATTTTATGTGTTCTGCTTATACATTTTTAAAGGTTTTGTATGGTGTGGCTTGGGTATATCAAGGGTCAGTGTGCCAGGCTCTGGCAGTCTCCATCACTACAAAAAAGTAGTTAGACTTTATATTGTGGATCCATTATTATGAGGTTGATGTGTATAGTTTTTAATGTTTAATGTCTACAATATAGAGTACATTCCTGTAAAACAATTGCGTTTTCCCCAGAAGCCAGGGTGGCTATGACCGCTACTCAGGAGGAAATTACAGAGACAATTATGACAACTGAGATGGGACATGCACACATAATGTAGGTGAAACCTAAATATTGGGAGTGAGTCAACCTGTGCTCATCAGACCCTCCTGTCCTGCCCCTCTTGCTTTTCTTCTCATTGCACTGCCCTATATCTCTGCTGCCTTGATGTCTTACCCAGCCAGTTTACCTCAGCATCACTTGGCTGCCCTTGCTTTTAGCTGCATGCCAGAGCTAGTTGTGGGATATGGTGTGGGGTACCCGAAAAGTGATCTTATGTTCTGTTGGGACATGGTAGAAATAAGAGGTGGTATGCTGCATCTTTATCAACTCTGGGAGGTGAGCATGTTTATCAGCCTGTTTCTTCCTGACATCAAAATTCTACCCCTTCTTACTATTCTCAGATACACAAGGAATAACACTCTTCTGATCCAAGATCGTCCTTCCAAAATGCTGTATTTGTAAAGATTTTTGGAGCTGCGCTGAAACATCTGTTTTAGTACATCAAGTTCTATTTTTTAATTGAGCTCCCAAGGTAGTTAGAGACCTTTTAGAAAGCTCCAGGTGTTCTTTAAGCATTTTTCCCTTTAAAGACAAATATTAAGACATTTGTTACAGTCCCAATATTTTTCCTTTAATTAGAATTTTTGTTTAGGTGCTCAGGATTGTTTCTGGCCCCAAAAGGTGGCCAGGCTAATGTTTTTTAAATTAATGGATATTTAGGGACATTTTAAAAAACTTGTACAAATGTTTATCATGGCCAGAAAGTGAGTTCTGAATGTACCTATGAACAATCTGAATCAAGATCATGATTACTTAGAGATGTTTTTTATTCAAGATCACCGTCCTGATTACATAGAAGAACTTTAAAATGTTTGTGAATGTCATTTTTTTTTAATACTGGAAGAAAAAGTATTCTGTTGTGTCTGATGTGTTTAGGATGTCCGTTATGGAGCTAATTAAAAGATGAAACCTGAACACAAATCAATATTGATAATGCTTTTTCCTTATTCAACCCAGTTTGTAATTTAGAAGTAGAAGCAAGTCAGGATGAAGCTTGGAAATGTACAGGGGTGGGCAGAAACTGCCGAAAGAGTTGAGCCTTGAATTTGAAGTTAGGAAAGTTTGGATTGTCTTGTGGGTGTATGGTGAGACATGAAATGTGGTGGATACAGGTAAAAGTCAATTCTCTTATGACTAGAACCAAGTTTTCTGAAGTAGTTTCTTGGTCCTTTTCACAGCTATTGTTTCCTTAAGTTTTCTATTATGAGCACAAGGTGCATACCCTCCTTATAAGATTGTCCTGGGAGCATAAGCACATTAGTCTCATGACATGGGCCCTAAACCCTACCATAAACAGATAGTATGCTATACCTAAATGATGGAAATTGTGTGGGTGTGAGTGGTGGTGGTGGTGGGGTCTGGAACCCTATGTCAGGCATGAAGGAAACCTGGTTAGAAAACAGGAATTAAAGAAAGTTCAGACTGGATTCAGATTCCTAAATTCAAATGTGGGGTACTACTCCCTGCTCTTTGACCTTTGGTAAGACATTTAACTTATTTTCTTAGCATTGTGTTCCACATTTGGGGAGGAGAGTCATATGAATAATTATATAAAGCCACTAAGGACAATTGGTAAACTTTCTGTTAACAAAGGTTGTCATGAGAAGCCAGTGGTGGCCCTTTAAATGGGGGGAGGGGCTATCTTTATCTGTTCAGTTCTGCTTTTACGTTTAGTGAGGGTTCTGGTGGCTATCTTTTGCTCCCATGGGTATTAGTCCTCTATTGATTACTTTTAGAATGGAAAATTGAGTTTTGTCCCTGGTTATCAGCTGGCTCCATACCATCAGGATCCAGATTCCAAAACTTTATTCTGAACAGTTTGCTTCATCCTTGGGGCATGGAGGCTTGTCTCCTCAGGTCTCCCAAGGATATTTTTTTCTCACACCCAAATGGTCATGAATTTGCTTTGGCAGGTGGATGAAGACTCAGGAACTTCCCAGAATTCTGCCTCACCCACTGAGCCAGGCCCAGAATATGGGGCATTGTGGCTAACCCCACCAGGTGGGTACTTGGTCTGAGGAAGTATAGGGAAGGCCCTATGCTGGACCTTTGGGGAAATAAGGTGGTGGGAGCTGGCAGAACCATTTTCTGTCTTAAAGGTGGGAATGGGGAGGAAATACACCCAATGTAAACTGAGGTAGTATTTCATAATCAACCATAAAATGGCTACAGCTAGATGATTTTCTACAGTGTGTTGTGTGGTAGTATACACAGTCTCGGAATTCTATAAAAATTGCCCCACTTTCCAGATAACTGGAGCTGTATTTTAATAATTTAGCTGTGGAAAGCCTGTCTCAGTGATAATTGTTAGGGAAAGAGCTCAGGAGGGACATTGCGGAAATTTGGTCCCACAGACCTTGGAGAAACTCAACTTTTGAGGTTCAAAGCTCCCCTAGTGTGAGATTGGACCGAGAGCCAAAATAGCAAATACCATGGTCAAAGCACCTTGGTGCTGGATTTACAGGAGTGTGATGTCATTCTGGAAGATAAACCCATGGCTTGCTGCATGCGAGGCCAGCAGCTAAAAACGACTGGTTTTAGCCCCTGCTTCCTGGCTTCCTCAGTTTTAACGTTTAAAATGAAAACGATCACCACACCCATGGACCACATTTTGCATTGAAGGCATATAGAAGGTGTACTGTTTTTCCAAATAAGTTCTATGGTTCCTTTACATCATGAAAACCAGTATCCTGGTTTTGCAAGCTGCCTAGTCCCTTCTTAGCAGGAAGCTTATCCCCTTATTAATGTTGGATTTTGAGGAACTGCCCTATGTCCTGTAGAGTAGAAGGTGGGGCTTGTTTACCTTGTTGAATTGTGGCATTCCAAATAAACCTTTCTTAATATGCTGGTGTTTTTATTTGGGAAATGGTTTTTGCTTGGAATTGAATCCAAGGTGAGTCCCTTGGTATATGTGAAGCAAATCATTTTGATCTTCCACTATAGATGGAAAGTGTGGTATTGTGGTTTTTAACAGTAAAAATTAGCATGGCCTCTGAGAAACCATTTGGTAACTGAAGAATATGATACTAATATGCATTGAAACCCAAAATGTGTGGGATCCAGTTACTTTCGGTTTAGACTGATATTCAAAAGCAAGGAATTTATTGCCAAAAAGATAAATTATGCTTGTCTCCTATGAACTTAAGCCACTGGAAAAGGGAGCAGAGGACTCCTTAGAAAATTAGCAGACTTAAAAAAGTAATTTGACTTCATTCAATAGACTGACTTTGATTTGGCGGACATGTGCATAAAGTAGTACATTAACATTGCTTCAAACCTGCTTTAGCAAAGCAGTATTGGCAGTTGGTTCACACAGGCTTATAAATATTTTCTGCTTCACTTGGTGTCATAGTCAGGGCTTCATAGTATCTAGGCAAGCACTCTACCAACTTAATTTTTTTTTTTTTTGAGATAGGGCCTTATGTGGTTCACACTGGCCTCAAACTCATTTTGCTTCCATTTTGCAGGTGTAATTCAGAAGCATGAATTCTTATTGTTCCTACCTTTTCTAACTTATTCCAAATAATATATATTTAAAGCATAGACATGGTTTTATAAATATACACACTAAAGATAGTTACTATCAAGATAATTGCCAAGTTTATTACCTTCATATAATCTGCTTTCGCTATCTATAAAAATGTGATTTATTATTTTAAGTATGCTACAGTATCACTAGGCTGATGCTGTCTTCAGGATGAAAACAGAACTTCAAATCATACTAGGTGAGTATGCTACCTTTGAGCCATCTCCTCAACTAATATTGTCTTTATTTTAAGGTTAGATACTATACTGTAAGTGTGTTGGGTCCATATGTTGGCTGTTTTATTTTATTGTATTTTTGACCTATGCCTTTATTTTCCAAGATGTTTTAATTTAGGTCTGTGTATGGTTGGTTCTCTTAGATATCAAAGGTCTCCGATTGCTCTGGGGTAAGCCAGCCAGTGACACCAGAAGCTAAGCTCAAGTAACCTGCAAGAGCAACATGGACTTATTTTTAAATTTTATTTTTGTTTGCATTGGTGTTTTACCTACATGTCTGTGTGAGGGTGTCAGATCTTGGAGGTACAGTTGTAAGCTGACATGTGGGGGCAGGGAATTGAACCCAAGTCCTCTGGAAGAGCAGCCAGTGCTTTTTTTAACTACTGGGCCATCTTTCCAGCACCCACAACATGGACTCTTAAAAGATACTGGGTCATCTTTCCAGATCTCTCTTTAAGATAATGGCTACTTCTCTCTCCCTCTCTTTTTGTTGTATCTATGGTTGACCTTAGCTAATGAGGTCTGTTAAGATGGTTCCTTGGGTGTAAATCTGGTTCAAAGGTCTAGCCTGACTTCTATCTCCAGATGCCACAGTGATGTTTAGCCTGAGACACAGGCCACTAGAGCTACATGTCACTTACAAAGAAAAAAAACGTACTCAGGTGTGTTTGGTGATTTCAAGCAGAGTGTAATGATGGCATGTGCCATTAGTGCCAGCACTCTGGAGGCATAGGCAGATGGATCATCATGATCTACAGAGTGTGTTCAAGGACAGCCAGGACTACATAAAGAAACTCCTGTCTTAAAAAACCCAGAACAACAACTAAAAACCTTTTGTTGTTTTGGGACTACCGTGTTCCTGATTGTCCAGAAACCTTAAAGACTGCAAGAAAATCCTCTATTGGAAATGACTAAAGTTGTATGATACACTATATAAGAAATATTATTTCTGTTCGTCAAAATTTTAAATTTCCTTTTGTCTCTGCCTTTTAGTGCTAGGTGGGATTATGGGTGTGTGCCACCATGTGTGTGGTCTGCTGACCAGGGATCACACCCTGAAAAGTGATTCTTAGAAGCCTGTAGGAGCCCCTTCCTATTCCACTGTGCTGGATTGTTGACGCGTTGAGCTAATGCAGCTCTTGGAAATATAGCCTCTTATGTGCCAAGGACACCAGGTCCAGTCCTAACAGGCTTTCAACTCTTAAAATGTATTCAACCATTCTTTGGAGGTAGCCCCCAGCCTTGAAGAGCATGTGATAAGTAGATGTCCCATTAGTTGCCTAGGCACCGCACAGATACTTAATTCTATGCACTTCAGCTAGTTTCTGTGTTAACCATCAACTGCCCATAAAAGCTTTAATGAGGTCTGACAGCTACACTAATTAATGGATATAAACAGACTAATTTAGAAGGCAGACATAACATATTGGGATCTATAAGCTGTACACAAGGGTTTGTGGCTCTATTTACAGACTCAAGCATGCATTACTCTTGTGGAGTAAGCTTTTTTTAAAAACCCAGTCAAGTACTGGAGAGATGGATGAGCAGATAAGAGCACTCTTCGAAAGCACCAGAGTTTAATTCCCAGTGCCCACGTAGCAGCACACAATCTAGGGGAGGTGGCATCCTCAAGCAGTTTAGGCAGAAAATGAAATAAAGATAAATCTTGGAGGAAAAGAAAGTCAAGTCAGTTACTCCCATAACATTTGTGCCACTAGATTTTTCCATTCCCAGGTCTCTTCAGCTTATGTATACAGTATTGTGCCTGTGCCTATTCCTATAGGCCAGAAGAGGGCACCAGATCCCATTATAGATGGTTGGGAAACAAATTGAACTCAGGATCTTTGGAAGAGCAGCCATTGCTCCTAACCTGTGAGCCATCTATCCAGGCCAGGAAATGGTGAATTTTAACTTCTGATTGGTATGCCCCAATCCTCATTTGCCCCATAATAGGGAAGAAGTGGATGGGGATTTTCTAGCCAGGGGGTGGTGGTGAATTCTTTAATCCCAGTCCTCGATCAGCAGAAGGCAGGCAAATCACTGACTTCAGGAGAGCTGTGGCTACATGAGAAACCCTATGTCAAAAAACGATATTCTATTAATCTCCAGTTGAACCTTAGCTTTACGGCCCTTCCCATTTCAGCAGTTTGCCATGGTTCTGAACACACCTCTGTAGACCGGGCTGGCCGTGAATTCAGAGATCATCCTGTCTTTACCTACCCCCCTCCTGGACTTTGGTTGAAAGATTTTCTTTATAGCTTTGGATGACACAGACTGGCTTTGTAGACCAGGCTGGCCTCAAACTCAGATCCACCTGCCTCTGCTGGGATTACAGGTATGTGCCACTGATCCTGGCACCTTAGTACTTACTTTTTTTCTTTGTAGTTGGTGCTTCTCTGTGTAGGCCTGGCTGTCCTGGACTCACCTTGTAGACCAGACTGGCCTTAAACTCAGAGATCTTTCTGAGTGCTGCTCTTACAGGCATGTGCCTCTGCCTGGCTTTAGTACACATCAAGCCACCTCCACCATGAAGTTAGCAGGTGTCAATCTGTGGTGGTCATGAAAAGTCCACAACCACTCCCCTCCTCAAATGTAGTTCAGTTTCTCTGCACATTTTTATGCTTTGCAAGTCATATAGATAGGAAACATGAAGGCAGGATGAATCTAAAAGATCAATGACCTTTTCCATCAGTGGAGTCACTATTGTCATGTCTACTTTGGCTGTGGCCTTCACTCATCTGACAGTGAAACTACTGGATCCTGTTAAGCCGCATGAGTTTCCAGCTCTTTTGTAAATCATGGTAATCAAAAGCTCCAGGAGCTGCTTCTTATGTTTTGATAAAGAAGAGTGCAGCACTGCTATTCCCTGAAGCACTCACTGGTCACTAAGATAGTTAAATCTTTCTGAGCTACCAGCTAACTGCCTTCTCATCAACTTGTTCAAACTAGTATATAATCCAGTGAGAGCATATAAATGATTTAAACATTGAAAAGAAGCTAGGTTCAGTGGGACACTAATCTCAGTACTGGGAGGCAGAAGCAAGTGGATCTCTGGAGACCTGTGCTACACGGTGAGTTCCAGGGCAGCCAGAACTCCATAAAAGACCCTACTTCAAAAAAAAAAAAAAAAAGAAAATAAAGATTGAGAAGAAATGTGTCTGTGCTTTGTGACTTTTGTTTGAGAGTTCCTGCAGAGGCCAAAAGCTGGAGGAATCCAGCCGGTTGTGAGCTGCCTGGTATTCTAGGAAGTGAACTTGGATCCTCTGGAAAAGCACAGCAAACCTAGTCTTAATGCTGGCCACCTTTCTAACCCATGAAAACTGCAGAATAAGTGCAATAAGGAAAGTAGAAGCCAGGGGCTGTGGTGCATGCTTGCAGTCCCAGCACTCTGGGAGGCAGAGGCAAGTGGATCTCAGTTACAGGTCAGCCAAGGCTACACACAAATTCTGTCTTAAATTTTTTAAGCTCCTGGGGAAGGAAGCTTTAAGGAGTTTGGGAAAACTAAAAAGGGGGAAGTCAAGAAAAGGCTGGTATTTGTGTGTGTAAATGGGGGCTGGAAAGATGGCTCAGAGATTTAAGAGTACGAGCTGCTCTTCCAGAGGTCCTGAGTTCAAGTCCCAGCAACCACATGGTGACTCACAATCATCTACTGGGATCTGGTGCCCTCTTCTGGTGTGCAGGTGTACATGCAGACAATACTACATAATCTTTTAAAGTTCCTGGAAAAGGAAGCATTCAAGAGAAATCAGGAGTTGGGGAGGGAGTCAAGACGGATATGTTTGTCTGTGTATAAATGCCATGTGTGTATGGGCGCCCTTGGAGATCAGAAGACGGCAGTGGATCCTTTGGAACTAGAGTTCTAGGCAATTCTGAGCCACATGATGTGGTTTGGGTGCTGGCAAACTGAACTTTGGTCCTCTGCAAGAGCAGCAATTGCTCTTAACCACTGAGTCACCTTCCAAGCTCCCAGGGAGGGAAAATACATTTGAAAGTGCTATAATAAAACTAATACATTGTATGCTGAGTTAAAATTTTTAAGTTAGTCTAACCATGAAAAATAGTAGTCAAAACTTAGTATCTATGCCAGGTGCTTAACCAAAGCTTTATGTGTATTAACTCATGTAACCATTATACCTGTGAGACAGGTTTTTCAAATTAAGAGTGATTCACAAACATTATGTATCTTTTGCCTGAGATCAGCAGAACCACTCCCAGTGGCCAAGTTATACTGTCCTTTGAAAGATTACACTGCTTCTAGAATCAATAGCAAATAGCACAAGCCCTTCCCATTAATGACTAATTCACCTTTAATCCTGTCATCAGAGGGTTGTACCCAATCTGGACCTTCCTGAGACGCGATCTCAGAGAAAGGACCAACAAGATTGCTCAGGGTATAAAGACCCTTGCTGCCAAGACGGAAGGACATGAGCTTGATCTGGAACTTAACTGTGTGCAGTCCAGTGACCTTCACAGGTGGGCTCTGGTATGTATATCCCCTCTCCCAAATACATTTAATAAAAATGTATTTTTAGTAGAAACATTGATCATTGCGTTTTTTTATGATAAAACATGAAAATGCAGTGTGGACACAGATGAAGGCCAGTTAAACAGACTGTCACACTTTGATCCTTTGGTGCTTTAAGATTTTCTCCTCTAAACTAGGGATGGGAACAGGATCCACAACATTCCTATTAAGATTTAATTGGCTGCATATGGTAATGAGTAATGTAACCCTGGCTACTAAGAAGGGTAAGGCAGGAGGATCAGAAGTTCTAGGCTAGTCTGGGAAATTTAGTAAGACCAAGCCTGAAGAAGAAGAAAAAAGATCTTTTGGCATGGTTGCTCATGTCTTTAATTCCAGCATTGGGGAGGTAAAAACAGGATCAGAAGTTGAAAGCCAGGCTAGCCTGGGCTACATAAGACCCTGTCTGAAACAAAAATTAATAAAAGACTGGAAGCCAGTTGTAATAATCCAACACTTGGGAAGTGGAGACAGAAGTGTCAGTTCAAGGTTATCCTCAGCTAAATAATGAGTTGGAAACCAGCCTGGGTTACATAAGACCCTGTGTTTTAATGTGAAAGGCACTTGTCTAGCATGTCAGAGGCCCTGGGACCTATCCCCTGTACCGTAAAACATTAGATTAATACATGTAAGCTACTTAAATAATGTCCAGCACTGTCCAATGGATACTTACTATGGTTTTATTAAAGTTACTTTTTTGTGACAAGACATAGTTTATTCTGTAGAAGTTACATTTCAGGGTATTTTTAAAACATACAGTGACAAAGGATATCAATAGGATTCACTTATCAATTTTTTTGGGGGGGGCAATTTAAAACAAGCTAAATTTATTAAATATTAAATACTATACTAAGAGAATAGACTTTGGTCAGGAGCATTCTGCAAAATTTCCCAGCTGGAATGGCCTTCCTCACTTCAGACAACCTAAAAACATTACTTAGTTGATGCTTAGGGTTTTTTTTGTTTGTTTGTTTGTTTGTTTGTTTTTGGTCAGCTAGACACAGGTTAGAGTCACTTGGAAAGAGGGAACCTCAACTTAAAAATGCCTACATCAGATTGGCCCGTAGAGCCATTTTCTTGATTGATAATTGGGTGGTGCCACCTGTGCGCATATAGGCCTGGGTTGTATAAAGAAGCAGGCTACAGCAAGCCTTGGGGAGCAAGACAGTAAGCAGTGTTCCTCCATGGTCTCTTGTTGGAGGTTGGTCTGAAGTGTGTTACTGCCCCTTAAGAACTGGTTACACCTGTCTTTATTTTGTAAACCTGTCTTTATTTGTAAACCCACATATCTGACTGGTTGATTAAATATCCTATACCTGGGCAGAGCAGAATGGGATAGGTGTGGCTAAGGTTCCCTGTCTCTGGAGGACAGAGAGGATGATGGGAAACAGACGGAGAGGAAGAGAGGAAACATGAGGATGCCATGATGGATTAGCCTGGAGGAGAAATGACATGGGGGCTGGGAGGAAAGACTCTAATAATGGCATGAAAAGGCCCAGGTGAAGAATAAGAGCAAATATAAGATTATGGATGGAAGATAGGATTAAGAAGAATGGCATTGGATGGGGTCTGGGAGCTGGATGGTGAAGCTATTAAGACAGCATAGGTAGGAATATCTGCCTGGCCCAGGGTAAATAAGGCAGTTTTAAATCTAACAGGTGTCTGTGTTGGGATCTGTAAGCAGGCATCTCTATGGCCAGCCCCAAGGGACCTGACAAACCAGATATCAGGCATCTGTGAAGTCACCTATGGATCACCTGAAACCACCTGTGCATGTTCGCTCCACCTGTGCTCACTCCTCCTTTCCTCGCTCTCCCTCTTTCCCCTACCATGCCCAGAGACTGTCTCTCTGACCCCCTCCCTCTTCCCTTAATAAAACCTCCCACATGGAACCAGTCACGTGGTGTGATTTGTGTACCCACCATGTAACTTAATGAATAATCCTAACAGTCTGTGTCTTATTGTTTGTGATAGTGGGTTAGATAGTACCACTGTGATAATCTTAGGGCTAATAATGAAAATTATCTAGCCCAATAGCTGAGAGACCAAAGAATTAAAAATTAGTGGGTATTGGTTTAAAGTTTAAAGCACAAGCCTGAACAAAGGCCAGCCAGGTGGAGACATGTCCAGCCACCTGCAGGGGAGAAACTAGCTTTACCACATTCTTTTCCTGCCCACTAGAGATACAGTTGCTAGGAAACCCACCCAGATGGCCAGGCCAGAACTGTTTATGGACTTGGTTCCTAAAGTAAACCTATCATTTCAAAAGTCAGTTTCCCTTTCCCAATCATGTAACACCAAGGCATGTAACCCACTGCTTGCAGTTTTGTCCTTTAAAAACCTTGTTCCCCTAGACCACCCCTCCACATTCCTCTCCTGCTTCCACAGGAAGATTTGTCACCTGGGCTCCAGCACATATCCAATAAACCCTCATTTATTTGCAGCAGAGTGGATTCCTGGTGGACTTTGGGGGGTCTCACGAATTGGACATAAGAGCCATTTTTTATTTTGCTGCAACAGTCTCTGCTTCAGTTCCTGGCTTGATTTTTAGCCCTGATTTGCATTAGTGATGCATTGAGACCTGGGAGTTGTAAGGTAAATTAAACCATTTCCTCCACCAAGTTTATTTTGGTCTGTTTTATCACAGCAATAGAAAGCCTAACTAAGACAGTTGATTGTATTTATTGTGAAAGACTGGGGGGCTGGAGAGATGGCTCAGAGGTTAAGAGCACTGTCTGCTCTTACAGAATTCCTGAGTTCAATTCCCAGCAACCACACGGTGGCTCACAACCATCTATACTGGGATCTGATATCCTCTTCTCTTGTGAAAGACTGGATTCAATTTTATGACCCTCCAGCCAACCTCTTCCTTCCACTTCACCCACTTATAGAATGACCATTATGTTAGACTTAATATCAACCTTGGAAATTCTGTTGAGAGGAATAGTTGAGATACAGATTGTTAGGGTCATGGTGGAGTTATAGTGTGGGTTCATAAATCATGCCATGTGACTAGTTCCACGTGGGAGGTTTATTAGGGGAAAGGGGGGTGTCACAAGACTGTCTCTGGGCAAGGTGTGTGCGACAGAGAGGAGAGGAGAGAGAAGGGTGTGTCCTCTTACAAGGTGACCCAGCGTATGCGCAGACAGGTGGCCTCACAGATGCCTGATGTCTGGTTCATCAGGTCCTTTGGAGGCTGGCTGTAGAGATGCCTGCTTAAGGATCCCAACACAGATTCTAGTTTAAGGTGAATAACAGATCATTGGGATAGTTTCCTTGGGTCAAAACCCCAAAACTTGTTTTTCCTAATTGCATCATATAAAAACATTTGCTGGGCATGGTGGCACACAGCTTTAATCCCAGCACTTGGAAAACAGAGGCAAGTGGATCTCTGAGTTCAAGGGCATACTGGTCTACAGAGTGAGTTCCAGGACAGTTGCGGCTACACAGAAAAAACCCGTGTTGTAAAACCAAAAATGGGCTGAAGAGACTCCTCAGTGTTAAGAACACTGGCTGTTTTACCAGAAATCCCGAGTTCAATTCCCAGCAACCACATGGTGGCTCAAAACCATTTGTAATGGAATCTTATTTCCATTTCTGGTGTGCTTGAAAACAGAGCACTCATACACATAAAATAACACTGAAAAAGAAAAAGAAAACAAACAAACAAAAAAGCCGGGCATGATGGTGCATGCCTTTAACCCCAGCACTGGGGAGGCAGAGACAGGTGTGTGTTCAAGGCCAGCCTATTCTACAAAGAGAGTCCAGTGCAGAAAATCAAAAAACAAAGACAAAAAAAAAAAAAACCCCACAAATTTCCTAGGGGCAACTCTCCAAGACCAGTTACTCCCAGTGAACACACACATGGATTCTTCTCATCACATAGTGTTTAAGAGATTCCTCACTGCTCTAAGAACTAGAAAATGTTCTAGGAGTCAGTCTCTGCATATATTTTAATTGCCTCGCCAAATTTGTGCTGCTCAGCACCAGCCCAAACCACTTCCACAAGTTATGTTTCTGATTTTTAGCTAGTGGTTGCATACCCACCCCTGTCCCTCTCACCCTAGTACATTATCCCCGTATATACAAAAGGTGTCAAGGGAGAAATGAATAGAACCCAAGGGGTGGAGCCTCAGTCCTTGTAAGGGAAACTACAGTCCTTTAATGCGCCTGCGAAGCTCCCACGTCCTGGAAAAAGTTCCTATCGATTTGCTCTGTGCTCCGCAGCTTTTTCTGGTTGCGGGCAGCCATCTTGCCTGGAGCTTGAGACAGGGAGAAGAGAGACAAGGAACGGGTGACACTGGGCTCAGGGCTGCCCCGGGGGCCTCGAGAGCTAGGGGCAGCCTCGGAGGTGGTCCTGGGTGCTGGGCTATGCTCTAGGACCAGAAAAGGGAAGGCGGAGGTCAGAAGGCTTGATGGGTGGGAAATGTCAAACAAGACTTGCTAGGTGGGGGGAGGGTTGTTGCTAAGGCAACTGGAGAGGGCGGAGTCATGTCTGAATTGTTGCTGCGAGTCAGCCGAGTGCTGCCCAGGAAAGGAAGGGCTAGGGTGATGACCAGGCTAACGCCCCACTGGGATTTCGCGACATCACCTGTGTGGAGGGACTTTGTGTGTCTTTGATAACTGTCACCTGCTGGAAGGGGCGGAACTAGATTTCCTCTGCCGGGCACACTGAACATTCCAAGCCCTTGCCCTGCAGGCTCCCGCAGGCAGACGCACCATAGAAGGAAGCCAGGGAATGGCCGCGGTGTGGCAACAAGTCTTAGCAGTGGACGCGAGGTGAGGCGTGGGGTTGGAGCCCATGGGAGCGGAACTTACTGTGGTGCACGAGCAATGGTGATATGCGAGGCTGGGCGGACTTAGCTGGTGCCGCCGCGTGAGCATGCGCAGTAGCTTGGTGTATGATCTTCCTGCCATGAAGTGGCGGGTGGGGGTGGGGAAGGGGGCGGAGGGGAAGGTTCTAAAGAGCATGCTGGGAAAAATGCGGTTTGAAATGGACAAGCGCAAAGAGACTGTCTTTGGGTGGGCAGTGGAAGTCAGGCTGGTGACTTCCTACCTAGACCCTCACTGCCTATCCTTTTCCCCAACTTATCTTGATATCACTACCCTATTATTATTACCCAATTGCTACCCCATACTAACCTCTACCGTTACCTGACCCTAACCTCCTTTGCTGTACATTGCCAATCTGTACAATACCAGTCTGTCATTATGCTAGACTGGTATTCTAATTGTCCCCAGATTGACCCCACAGAGCTGCATACTGACTATGCTGTCCCCAGACTGATCTTTTCATCATACCCATTATTACTGCAGAATGACCCCCATCACAGTACCAAGAGAAAATCTCCTATGCCACTGCTGATCAGTCTTACCATCCCAATCACTGCCAAACACCTCATTGCTCTACCCTATTCTTCGAGCTGATTTATTCCCTCTGTCCTGTGCCTGCTGCCTGCCCTGCCTTCTGGAACCTACAGGTACAACGCCTACCGTACACCAACATTTCCACAGTTTCGGACCCAGTATATCCGCCGACGCAGCCAGCTGCTGCGGGAGAATGCCAAGGCTGGGCACCCCCCAGCACTGCGTCGGCAATACTTGAGGCTACGGAGCCAGCTGTTGGGCCAGCGCTACGGGCCACTCTCTGAGCCGGGCAGTGCTCGTGCCTATAGCAACAGCATTGTCCGCAGCAGCCGCACTACCCTTGACCGAATGGAGGTGAGCTCTTGGCTACACCACCTGCCATGTATCTCCCCTGCCTCAATAGTCACCACGACCTTTTGTCAAACCCCAGTAATGTAGAAACTACTGTTCCAGGATCAGTAGAGGTCTAAAAGGTAATATAGCATCTAAGTCGATAACCCGGATAAACAGACAGTGAATTAGGGGAAAAAAAGGTGGAGCAAGTCAGATTAATGAGTGAGCATTACCATAGTATAGTAAGGAATCCTAAGACAGTACCATAAAATGGACTTAGGAGACAAAAAGGAACAAGAGTTTGGTGCAGGGATGTAGTTCAGTGGTTAGAGTGCTTGCCTCCTGTGTATGAGGCTGATGGTTCTATTCCTAGCACAACAAAAAAGAATGATAAGTCACTACTCCAAACTCAAGGAGAAGGAAACAGTGAAACCTGACTGAAGTGAGAGGCTGATTTGAGTGGGATTTTGGTGGAAAAGTGGTCATTCCTTGTGAGGAAACATGTATGTACTAAGGATGTATTGAGCCGGGCAAGGACAGAAACAGGGGCACTAGTGAAGAAACTACTGAAACAATGCAAGCAAGCAGTGATGGTGGTGGCTGGTGCTATGATGGTGGCTGGTGAGAAGGGACCAAGTCTGGTCATATTTTGAAGACTCCAGACTTCATGGTTCTCACAAACTAATTTCTTTTCTTTTGAGACAGGATCTCACCATGTAGCCCAGGCTGGCCTCAAATTCACTATGTAGCTAAGGCCTTGAGCTCAAGTGATCTTCCTGACTCAGTTTCCCAAATGGCTGGAATTAGAGGCATGCACCATCACTAATCCTCTCTTGTTTGCAGGACTTTGAAGATGATCCTCGATCCCTGGGGGCCCGAGGACACCGCCGTTCTGTTAGCCGAGGCTCCTACCAGCTGCAGGCACAAATGAACCGTGCAGTCTATGAAGACAGGTACATACTAGAGACAGGTAGGGGTGGGGGTTCACAAGGAGGAGAGGGGCCCTGGGACATGGCAAGGCCTGAACATCCTCACTTACCTCCTATCATCCCCTACTTCCTGTTGGGGCTCAGGCCTCCTGGCAGTGTGGTACCCACATCGGTGGCAGAGGCAAGTCGGGCCATGGCTGGTGACACATCGCTGAGTGAGAACTATGCCTTTGCAGGCATGTACCATGTTTTTGACCAACATGTGGATGAGGCAGGTGAGCTAACGGGTAGTGGGATCTATCACCAAATATTTGTTCAGACAACTCCCCAAAGCATTCTTTTCCAGAATGCAAGACCCCTGGCACCCCACCTCAGAAGGAGATTACCATTCATAAAACCTTTATCAAATGTAAAAGCCCTCTGCAAAGTTTTTGGTGCTTTGGTACTGTAAAGAGCCATAGAAATTCAAGAGAGTCCTTTAGGGCAGGCTGCCTGAGTTCTTGAGTCATTTGGAAGAGTTCAAAGCCTTTGTTGAGGATAACTCCCTTGCAGAGTGTGTAGTGAATGGTTTTTCAAATCAAACTGAGAGCTTAATTATTGTAAAGTACTCATTAAGACAGGACATGCTCTTTTGCATTGCAGAAAACTTTTGCAGTCCTCAAAGTGCCTGCTAAGATTTACAAAGCATTTTGACAGTAGGTCTTCTGAGGTTATAACTCTCTTTGTCAGCCAAGGAAAGCCCTTTGTTGAGGCTACCATTCCTTGTGCTCAGTGGATGTGTTCACTCCCATAAATGGTTCCTTGGCATTTGCAGTCCCAAGGGTGCGCTTCGCCAATGACGACCGGCACCGCCTGGCCTGCTGTTCACTGGATGGCAGCATCTCCCTGTGCCAGCTGGTGCCTGCCCCACCCACTGTGCTCCATGTGCTACGGGGCCACACACGTGGTGTGTCTGACTTCGCCTGGTCCCTCTCCAATGACATCCTCGTGTCTACTTCTCTCGATGCCACCATGCGCATCTGGGCCTCCGAGGATGGCCGCTGCATCCGTGAGATCCCTGACCCTGATGGCGCTGAACTGCTCTGCTGCACCTTCCAGCCAGTCAACAACAACCTCACTGTGGTCAGGCTCCAGGACACCTGCTCAGCAAGGGGGTGGGGTGATGCTGGGTCTGGAGGGCTGTCTTGGGGCACCAGAATATAACATTTAATACCCCAGGTCCTATCACACTAGTCCTGTGGTCAGACTCAAAGGGAAAGAGACCAATAAAAACAGTTCATGGACTGGGATGGCCTTGGCTGGGTTGGGGTTGGGAAGTTGTGGTCCTGGGATACCTCTGGGATACATCAAGCACAGTCTTACAGTTTTCTGTCTACAGGGGTTGCTGCTAGGGAGCAGGATGATGAGGCTGAAAGTTCGTCTAGTCTATCAATGGTAGCCCCACTGTGGTCAGACTCCAGGACAGACTGGTCAGAGGGCAGAGGAAGGACATGGAAAGTCTGGCATGGCCTGGGGGTAGGGAGTTGAAATATAGGGGAACAACAGGCCATGAGTGAGCTAGTTCTTGGGGCTCTGTCTTATTTCAATGGTAGCAGCTCATGGGCTTCAGAAGGGGGTAGGCCAGGGTATAAGGGAAAGACAGAAGGGTGTTACAAGATGAGGTTTTTCAGACTCTAAGATGGAGCCTGCTTTAGTCTCATTAGCACAATTGGTCTAGCGTGGGCATATTGAGAGGTAGCTAAGGAGTAGGAATTATGCCTGGGTCACCTTTTGGTGTACCTGCCACAGTCCCACTGTGTTAAACTCAGAGAAGGACTAGATGAGTCAGAATGATGGTGTATGTATTCTACCCACAGGTAGGGAATGCCAAGCACAATGTGCATGTCATGAACATCTCTACAGGCAAGAAAGTGAAGGGTGGTTCCAGCAAGCTGACAGGCCGCGTCCTCGGCCTGTCCTTTGACGCCCCTGGCCGGCTGCTCTGGGCAGGTGATGATCGCGGAAGTGTCTTCTCCTTTCTCTTTGACATGGCCACAGGTAGGCAGGCCACAGACCTATGTTTTGGTACTCTTGTTTTTATTGTCTCAAGACTCAACACTTGTCCTCACCTTTGCCTCCACTGATTCAGGAAAGCTGACCAAAGCCAAGCGATTAGTAGTACATGAGGGCAGCCCTGTAACCAGTATCTCCGCCAGGTCCTGGGTTAGCCGTGAAGCACGGGACCCCTCGCTCCTCATCAATGCCTGCCTCAACAAACTGCTGCTCTACAGGTGGGTTCTTCCCCAATTAGGGCCATCTGGGCAGAGAGATCCTGTCCCTTCCATCAGAGTGTAGCAAGAACCTGTTTGCATTACATTAAGTTCACCAAGGACAGAGGTCTGACCTCATAAAATGATGAGGATAGGGTTGAAGATGTAGCTTAGTGGCACAGTGATGGAATAGATGGTGCAGAGCTCTGGGTTCCATCCTCAGAAATACAGAAACACACACACACACACACACACACTACATAGTATGGTGATACATGGCTTACAAAGTGCACACAATGTGGTAATATCGATAGCAACATAAAAAGGAAAAGCAGAAATGAAAGCCTGATTGAACATTGCTATGGCCAGGCCCTGTTCAGAGCAGTTTGTATGTACCACCTTATTTAACCCTCACAACAACCTAGGAAATAATACTGTTATTGTCTCCATTTTAGAGTTAAGCAGACTAAGACAAAATACATAAAGGGCTGAGAAGGTAGCTCAGTGGTAGAGCACTTGCCTAGCATGTGCTAGGCTTTGGGATCCATTCCCAACACTATAATTAAAGAAAAAAATACCAGCACTTATTTCCCATTCTTTGTTTTGATTTTTTTCACGTGTGTGTGTGTGTGTGTGTGTGTGTGTGTGTGCATTCACATATCATGGAACATATAGGGAGGTCAGAGAAGAACTTGTGGTAGTCTATTCTGTCCTTCCATGCATGTTTCAGGAATCAAACTCAAGTTGCCAGGCCTGGCAACATGTGTCTTTACTCACTTGAGTTAGTTCTCCAGTTCCCTGTCTTTGTTTTTCTTTGTTTCATGTTGGGAGTTGAACCCAGAACCTTGTATATAATAATAACACATTCTACCACTTAGATAAACCCACAGCTAGATTGTTTTGTTCTTTTGATTTGGGGACAGAATTCATTCTCCCCTTTCATTTCTGTCATGTTACAACCCTCTAGCCAGCATGTACAGCATAATGACCAAAATGACTTCAAAAAGTTATGTTTGTTCAAGCTGGGCTTAATAAGCTCTTGACCTCAATTATGGCATGTGGGAGGCAGAGAAGCAGGTTGATCTCTATGAATTCAAGGCTAGCCTGATCTATATATGAAAGTTCCAGGCCAGCAAGAACTTCCCAGCAAAACCCTGTCTGAAAACACACAAAACTAACCTAGAGAGATGGCTCAGCAGCAGTTTAGAGCACTTGTTGCTCTTTGAGAGGACTTACGGTCAGTCCCCAACATCCACATGGCAGCTCACAACTGTCTGTAATTCCAGTTCTACGGGCTCCAACACCCTCTTTTGGCCTCCTCCAGTACTATACACATATGGTGTACAGACATACATGCAGGCAAAACACATAAAATGAAAATAAATTTAAAAAAATGTTAGCATTCATTGGCTGGACCCAGGCCCTATATACATAGCAAATGTGCAGCTTGGCTGTCATGTGGGTCCCCTAACAATGGGAGTAGGGGCTGTCTCTGACTCTGCCTTTGGAGCTCTTTCCCCTAGCTGGGTTGCCTTGTCTGGCCTCAGTGGAAGATGATGCCCTTAGTTCTACTGTGACTTGAAGTGTCAGGGTGGGTTGATACCCCTTTCTGAGGAAAAGAGGAAAGGAAAGGGATGGAGAGGGATGTGAGGGTAGGGTTGGGAGGAAAGAAAGGGAGGAGTCTGCAAGCAGGCTGTAAACTGATGAAATAAATAAAGTAATGGAGAAGAGAAAATTTTAAAAAGAAAGATGATATACACCTATGATGCCAGTACTCTAAGAACTGACACAGGAGGATCATTTGAATGCATGCATTGAGACTCAGCTTGTACAACATAGTAAAACTCTGTCTAAAATCAGAATTTCATAAGCATTGTAAATATCTCAGCTACATGAGTTAGAACACAGACTGGTCCACCAATGGTCATCTCCTGAGGATAAGGTTGAATCCTGACCTTTTCTTTTGCCTTCTCCTCAGAGTGGTGGATAATGAAGGGACGCTACAGCTGAAGAGAAGCTTCCCTATTGAACAGAGCTCACACCCTGTGCGCAGTATCTTCTGTCCCCTCATGTCATTCCGCCAGGGGGCGTGTGTGGGTGAGTGCGTAGGAGCAGGGTGACTGGGGAACTGGGAAAAGGCAAATACCAGTACTGCTGCCAGCCTGCCTCAGATATCACAACACCCTGATGCCATGACTTTCTGGGCATTAGGGTCTCTTGTGCCTTAACAGCCTAATGCCTAAATGCTTTAAACATGGGGCCATAAACAGCTTGGGAACTTCTCAGCTGAGCTAGAGACCCCCCTTTGCCCTAAAATTTCAAAGGAGGTAGATGAGCTCCCATCTAAGGATGGTTCCTTTTAAACTACCCCCAAGATATCTGAGGCTCTCACACCTCACATACCCTCAAGGACTAGGGTATGCTGGGGTATCACAGTAACCTCCTTGACTCTCTCTTTCATCCGGACAGTGACAGGCAGTGAGGATATGTGCGTTCACTTCTTTGATGTGGAGCGGGCGGCCAAGGCTGCTGTCAACAAGCTACAGGGCCACAGCGCACCTGTGCTGGATGTCAGCTTCAACTGCGATGAGAGTCTGTTGGCGTCCAGCGATGCCAGTGGCATGGTCATCGTCTGGAGACGAGAGCAAAAGTAGGGCTCTGCCAGCCCTGCATTGCCCTCCTCCCACACTCCAGTCTTGTGTTGTAAATAAAATGTCTGTGGTCGTGTTGAGGGGCAACTCCCAGGTCTCCCACAAGGAGTCACTAGGGAGCACTGCAGTGTGTTCATCCATTCAACAAGCACTTCCTGAGTGTCTGCTGTCATGTATCATGTAGTCATGCGGCCAGTAGACAGGAACGAAAGCACCAGCTGTGTTGTCAGGAACTGTTCTGAGAAGCAGGGGGACAGCTGTGGTCTCATCTGGCAGAAATTCCTGCCCTTGTGGCCTCCCATCCCAGTGGAGGCAAGTACCTGGTACATAAATGTACTGTCATTCCTTGCTGTTCCATTTGCTTTATAATTGTTCAACTTCATGACCTTTTGACCTTCCAGTGGCACAGAACCACTACGACTCTTATATCCCCAGTCTTGTTTTCCTACTTTAAATGTAATGTTCAGTAAATTACATGTGCTAGTCAACATTTGGTTATAAAATAGACTTTGCATTAGGTAAGTTTGTCTCCCTGTAGAATAATGTCAGTGTTGTAGGCACATTTAAGGTGGGTGAGGGTCAGGTAGGGTGTCAGCTATGTTAGGTACACTAATGCATTTTCAACATACGATAGTCAAGACGGGTTTGTTGGGGTATAATCCTGTTTGATGAAGAAGCATCTGTAGATAATAGAATACACAAAGATGAGTGGTGTGAAGAAAAAAAAAAGGGAGGAAAGATGAGGTTGTAGGAACAGGAGGGTGCAGTAGCTTCTTGGGGCGATATCATCAAGAAAAATGTTCCTGACAGGATGGGTGAAATGAAGGAAGTCATAGTGTGGGGATAGAAGCACATCCTTGACAAGAAGAAAGGTTAATGCAGAGGCACTGTGTGTGTCAGAACATGACTGGACTGTGTGGGAGAAAGACGATAGACAGGTCTTTCAGGCTTCTTGGGCCATAGCAAGGAGCTTGGCTTTTCTTGAGTGAGGGAGGTGGGATGGGATCAGTCAACAGTAGAGAAATGTAGGTGGGGGAATGTTAAGTTCAACCCTAGAATTTCATGAGATTAGGTTGTAAAACTCCCCCATGTGGCAGCTTCTGTCTGGATGGACCCCACACTTGTCTGTGCATTGAGATGTATCCCACAACCAGAAAGTAAAAGAGCTGAGTTCTTGGAGCACTAGTTTGGCATTCAGGCAGCCATGGACTCTTGGGCTGAGCTACATACAGCTCCTGCTGTGGGAATAGGAAATAGGAAATCTCTAAGCTTACCTCTGTCTCCACCCATGTAAATACAGAGCCCTAGTTTTAGCCCTGGGTCAACTCAGAGACCAAATGCTAATGTTCATTATTGGGTATTAGCAAGGAAATAAATTTCTAAATAACTCTCTGGTTAGAACCATGAAGAAGTTTCAAGGTTTGAAGAATCACCAGGGGCTGTTATGGATAACCTCCTATATGCTGCTACATTTGCTATCATTGGAACTTTGGGAGCTCAGGGTCATCAACCTGGTGAGCCATGGGGCTAACAGCAGCACTTTGAGAAAAGAAGATAACTACTCCCTGTTTGTTTAACCTGTTAACAGTGTGGTTGCTTGCAGCCAAAAGCATTTTCGACTCTATCGGCCAGATCTTAGGCAAGTGGTTATAAGATGGGGATATTATCAAGCTGGACTGGTCATGTAGTTAAAATCATACATGTGTGCCAACATTCCTAATCTCGCTTGAGGGTCACTGATTTTCTGTGAGGACTGGAACTTAATACAGCTGAAAGACACAGCTTGAGAGGACCAGATACCGATTAAGTTTAAGAGACCCTCACAAGGATAGCAGTTCAGACCTGTGTGTTAACTCTTTTCTGTACCAGATACACGGTTTCAATCAAGGTCTGTAGGTAGCAAGATAATTTGGGCAAATACCAGTTTTCTCTAACTTCCTTCTTTTCTTCACAGTTTCCACTTTCTTTATGAGTCCAGTTTGGGGATGATTGATGAATATTGTTTGCATGATTTGGGGGGGGGGTTCCTTCTTGTGAAATTTTTTTTGAGGTGACAGTTGACATTCGACTTTAAATTCATCTTGGTGACACTTTTGACTCACAACCTAAAGGAAAATAACCACTGAGTAAACAAAGAATAAAAAATAATGTTATTGGTGAAACTTGGGCCGCTCTTAATTTGTCTGTCATCCCTGTGCCTCTGGTTTGACATCAGAATTGTGTTCATCACTCAATCATCTATGCTACTTTACTTTTCCCTCAAATCCAGACTTGGTCCACACCCTTTGTCTCACTGAATCATACACCAGTCCCTGAGCATTTCTTCCTCTTTGCTTCACCAATGTCTGTCTAGGGTGGCCTCAAACTCAAACATAGAAATTTAACCTGCCTCTGCTTCCAAAGTGCTACAATTAAAAGCATGCACCACCACACCTGGCTCATAAAATAGTTTTTAAGTAGAAGTCTTTTGAAATTTTTGTTTAGTTTTGGGTTTCTTTTTTATAATTTATTTAACTTTATTCTATGTGCATTGGTGTGAGGGTCACCTGGAACTGGAGGTACAGACAGTTGTGAGCTGCCATGTGGGTGCTGGGAATTGAACCTGAATCCTTTGGAAGAACCGACAGTGCTCTTAACCACTGAGCCATCTCTCCAGCCCCTTGGTTTTTTGTTTGTTTGTTTTCGTTTTTTCGAGACAGAGTTTTGCTGTGTAGCCTTGGCTGTCCTGAACTTGATTTACAGAGCAGGCTGGCCTCAGATTCACAGAGATCGTCCTGCCTCTGCCTCCCTGAATGCTGGAATTACAGGTGTGTGTCAGCATACCCGGCTGATTTTTAAATTTTGTGTACATGGGTGCCTGGTGCCTATAGAACATCAGAACCCCTGGAACTGAACTCACAGATGGTTGTGAGCCACCAGGTGGGTTCTGGACTTCAAACCTATGTCCTTCACCAGAGAAAGAAGTGCTCTTAACTGCTGAGCTTGTAAGTAGAGGTTTTGTTAACTATACCGTTACTGGTCCTGTGACCTAGTCTTGAACTCAGGCTTTTATTAAATAATCTACTTTTATGTGGGCATCTCTGCAAACACCAGGATTGGCAGGGTGATGATACTTGTGAGGCAAGAAGGAAATCTAGGGTTGGAGAGATGGCTTAGCAGTTAAAAGAACTAACTGTTCTTCCAGAGGACCCAGGTTCAATTCCTGATGCCACATGGCAAATCACAACTCTCTATAACTCCAGTTTCAGGGCGTCAAACATCCTCCCACAGACATGCATGCAGGCAAACCACCAATGCACATAAAATAAGTAATTTTTGAAAAAGAAGGAAATACAGTCCAACAAAACTCACTATCTGGTGTTGGTTCAAATGTCTGTAGTCTGACACTGGGCAATTTATTGAAAGAATATTTAAGAACAGCACAATTTATAAAGAAAAGAAAAGTTTATTGGTATAACATGGTCCCCTGTGCACAAAGAGGCATAATTACATTGAAACTCTTCCCAAAGTACATGCCACTTCTTCTATGAAGATGGGTTCTAGAAATAGGCTACAAGTGTTATCTTTAGGGCCTAGGGAAGGATCTGGTGTGGTCTCAGTCATACAGATAGCATAGAGGTCATCTGTGCAATTAGTCACCTCCAGTCCTGATTGGAGGAGCTTGGTGGGACCCCTGGCCATACAGCTAGTACAAAGGTCATCTAGACTATTAAGTATTTCCACTTATGGTTGGGGGAGTTTGGAAGAGCTCCTGGCCATACAGATCATATTTGTAGCTCATCTAGACTATTAGCCACCTCTGCTCCTGCTTGTGGGAGCTTGGTATGTCCTGGCCCTACAGATAACAAAAGAATCACCTAGGCTATTAGACACCTCCCTTCCCAGCCTTCTGGGCAGAAAAAGGATTATATATATATATATATATATTTTTTTTTTTTTTTCCTTAAAAAAGATAACCCAGCTGGGCATGGTGGTGCATACCTGTAATCCCTGCACTCCAGGAAGCAGAGGAAGGTGGATCACTGTGAGTTCGACGCCATCCTGGTATACAAAGTGAGTCCAGGACAGCCAAGGCTACACAGAAACCCTGTCTTGAAAAACAAACAAAAAATAATCAGGGGCTGGAGAGATGGCTCAGATGTTAAGAGCATTGTCTGTTCTTCCACAGGTCCTGAGTTCAATTCCTACCAGCCACATGGTGGCTCATAACTATCTATAGTAAGATCTGGTGCCCTCTTCTGGTGCACAGGTGGAACGCTGTATATATAATAAATAAATAAATCTTTTAAAAAATCAAATTAAAAAGACAACTCTGCATATTTAACATTCCTGGTTTCCCTTTGTGCTCCCAAAAGTTTAAAAGCCTCTTCTAGTCTTAGATCAAACTCAGATTTGTTTTTGGTTGTTTTGTTTTGTTTTTGAGACAGGGTGTTACTACCTAGCCCTGATGACCTAGAACTCCTTCTGTTGATGAGGATGTTGTCTAAATCACAAAAGTCCACCTGCCTCTGCCTCCTTTAGCATATTCCCCATCCCCATCCACCATTGGTTTTAGAAATGGGTCTCATGTAGGTGAGACTGGCCTCAAATACTATGTCGCTGAGGCTGGCCTGGAACTCCTGATCTTCCTAATTTCCCATCCTACGTGCTAGGGATCCCCACCACCTAGGCCTCTTTTGAACTAGATAACTTTAAGGCTTCTCTGAATCTTGGCCATTTTAATTGTTTGATTCTGAACAGAGACCACTGTGCTGGGTGTGTAGCACATAACTTTAATTCCGGGACTTGGGAGACAGAGACAGGTGGATGGATAGATGGCTATCTGAATTTGAGGACAGCCTTGCCTACACAGTGAATTCTAGGCCAGCCAGAATTATATGGTGAAAACCTGTTCCCCCCACTCTCCCAAAAAGGGCTGGTGGTGGAGAGATGGCTCAAAGGTTAAGAACACTGGCTGTTCTTCTGGAAGACCCCAGGTTCAATTCAGCACCTACATGGAAGCTCACAACTGCCTGTAACTCCAATTGCCAGTTACAGGCAACTGCCTCTTCTGACTGCCTTTTCTGGCCTCTATGGGCATAATGCATAGACATGGTGCAAAGACATGCAGACACAACACCCATACACATAAAATAAATAAAATAAGAAGATTAAAAACTAAAACAACCCAGTCTTGACCTGGAAGTCTAGTCTGTTATTGCATCAACACTCCCAGCCCCTTCTCAAACCAGGGCTGTCATTTAAAAATCATTTCACTGGTCAGTGTTACTTTGCTTCCTAATCAGTTTTTCTTGCTCTCTGTATTGGGACTATAGACTCAGTGAGCTGGTCTAGTAAGCTAATACAGCAATTTAACTATTCTAAAACCCTTCCAACTCCAGGCTTGTATCTAAACCACCTCTGGTTTGGATTTTAAGTGGATTCTAATATTACTTTTTTATCAGTAGTGCCCTGAAAGGTCTATTGTGGGACTTTTGAAGTTATCACTTCTGCTCCTGCTCCTGCTCCTGCTCCTGCTCCTCCTCCTGCTCCTGCTCCTGCTCCTGCTCCTGCTCCTGCTCCTGCTCCTGCTCCTCCTCCTCCTCCTCCTCCTCCTCCTGCTCCTGCTCCTCCTCCTCCTCCTCCTCCTCCTCCTCCTCCTCCTCCTCCTCCTTCTCCTCCTCCTCGTGCTATAGCCCAGGCTGGCCTAGAACCTATTGTGGTCCTTCTACCTTTACGTTCTGAGTGCTGGGTATACAGGTGTAAACTACCATGCCAGGCATGTTGTTATTCTCAATTGATACACCAATTGTCACACCCTGTAGTCTGAATTCAAATTCCAGGCTCTGTTTCCTACTCTCCTGTTGATTAACCTCACTTACACCCAAATATTTATTCAATTATCTCCACCCCTTCTACTGTGGTCTGACCCCAAGCCATGGTCTTTGCTAACCACTCTTTCATGATTGCCCTTTTACTTTGAATGCAAAGATGTTCCTACTAGTACAACATCAACACCTGAATCTCATCTGGTTATTTAAACACAACAATTATTGCTAACTAATTAAAAATCCAGGCCTTGTTGGACATGGTGATCCATGTATTTAATTCTAGCACTTGGGAAATAGAGGCAAGTAGATCTCTATGAGGTCAAGGCCAATCTGGTCATCTGACCTCAAATTGTAGTCTTTTATTGCATTATCTATCTTTGCCTGGTCAGTTAAGGAACCCAGTGGATTAACTTTTATTAACTGAGTTCTTGTCTGAGTTTGAACCATGTGCTTTGTTCATTTTTCCACTATTGGTCCCCTTGCCCTCACGGGTACTGTTGCCTACTACCTAGGCCTCACTATTAAGACCCTCCTGTCTAAACAAATGAAACAAAAAAATCAAGAGCCCCCTGTGCTGGCCTTAAGTAAGGACATGGCCACTCAGTTCACCCTCCTGTTTGTTTTGTTGTAGTACTTTGACTTGGTTTGATTTTTGTCTTCTTCTTCTTTAAATACGGTCTCTCTCATACACTCCAGGCTAACCTGGAGCTCACTATGTAGCCAAGGTTGACCTTGAACTTCGTATTCTCTGACTTCTACCTCCCAAGTTCTGGGATTACAGGTGTGTGCCACCACATTCAGCTTATGTGATACTAGGGATGGAACCAAGCACTTCTTGGATTCAAGGGAAGCATTCTACCAACCAAACCCAGGTCAGCCAGGAGAGACCTTGTCTCAAAAAAAAAGTTGCTTCCATGCAATGCAGTGAATATAAGGAATCAGACTGATGAAGAACAGACTGTATTCCAAGACTGTAAATGCTATGGACAGCTGCAAAGCAAGGCAGTGGAATGGGGATGAGCCTAAGCCAAGAGGAAGCCAGGTAGATTCTGGTGAAAATAAGCCCTGTAGTCCTACCCAAAAGGTGAGCCCACATTCTTCAAAGCCTCCATCTGGAAGATTTGGTGAGATAGTGCCCTTTCCTGCATGATATGATTGTCAATATTTGAGAGGAAGTCCGGTCTATCATTTGTCATAACTCAGAGGGCTGTGTCCAGGTGCTTTCTCCAGAGAGAACCCATTGTTTAAGATTGAGATACTCTGGGGACCAGATAACAAGGAACAATCATAAGATAAGAAGGTTGGGAGACAACCTGCCACAACCTTTGGTTGGGGACAGCTGTGAAAGTCAA